TGGCATTGGCGTACTAATCTTTCACTACTTTCCTCCTCCATCTTTTTCTTGATACCAAAGAGCAGAGCAGTTCCGCGTGGATGTTGGTAAAAGATCGCATCTGGGGGCGAATGCAGCAAGGCCCGTCGTGGATGGGTTCTCGTTTTTCAAATCTGGTAGTACGATAAATCGAATGTTGGGGAAGGGGAAAGGACCCTAAATGGGGCTGAGGAACCTTCGCGAAAAAAAGCCGTACTGGTGGTGACCGCCGCTACGCTGTGCTTAAAAGTCTTCAATTGCGTTTTCTCACAAATATAGCTCCGGCGCTCGAAAATCAAAATTTCAAGCAGTGCAGTTTGATCGAGGTGGCGTCAGCCAACGATCGTTGAATGAAAATGAAGCCGTCCTCATAACGGTGTCTCCCAAAAAGACTGCAAGATGGTTTATCATCGAAGTAGCCCAACCGACAATGCCCATGTTCTTCCTCCGTCAAATCACCGGCGGTCGATTTTGTCGAACCTCACACGAAGTATTTGATTGTGGTGCTCTCGAACTCCAAATTTGCTGGTGCGAACGGTAGCATCGAGGGCTCCAAGTACTTATTGATGTGTAGACTCTAATTAAGTACGAAATCAAAAGCTGAAATACGAGTAGAAAGTTCAAAGAAGTTGGATTATTCCGTAACCTGGCTGTGGATCGCTAGGACAGGACGCAATTTTTTTCGTTCCTCGCAGTGCAAAGCTTTTTCCGCTGCCTACGGGTCCACTAATTTTCGGGATTGACTTTTCAAAGGACTCAAGCCTGGCTCGCAGAGCTTTATTTACAGTGGACCTAGTCAGAGGTTCCACGATGCTAAGTATGAGAGTGCTAGAACTTTTTCGAGAGCTCCAAGAAAAGCAGTAGCTGGAAAAAGCCATTTCAGCCCTTAAACCTTATGAACGATTCCTATGGGTGAGTATCATTGATTATCCTGAATACAATCAGTTAATGTAAGCGCTAAGCGCTTTTCCCAGTTATTTCAAGACAGGTATCATATTCCGAGCTCACGCTAGCCATGTAGAATCGAATTGCTGCGTGAGAGAGGAGAGAGGCTTGCCCCAATTTTTTTTGAGACGCTACTGTAAATAAAGCTCTGCGAGCCAGGCTTGAGTCCTTTGAAAAGTCAATCCCGAAAATTAGTGGACCCGTAGGCAGCGGAAAAAGCTTTGCACTGCGAGGAACGAAAAAAATTGCGTCCTGTCCTAGCGATCCACAGCCAGGTTACGGAATAATCCAACTTCTTTGAACTTTCTACTC